CTCTTAGTGTACAAAGTTCTGAAGGTTGCCGTGACGAGGGGAGTGTGGTGGAGGGAGGAGAACGTATAATGCTGCGTGGCTAGAAACCATTTTTTTTAGTTGTTTGCCATAGTGCACTTACAATAGTTCCGCAGACAGTTGTTACAAATATTGCAATCGTACACCTCGAGCATAATTGTCACTCAATTCTATCTAGTTCAGCTTGAATCAATATTGATGCTGAAAATCATGCAATCTGGTACTTCAAGATAGATTTTATGTGATTGGAAACACGATGGGCAACTAAAATGTTCTGGACACAGTAGCATTTAAAATGTACTAGGCCTAAACGCAATACCAGCTACAGTTTGATACAAACTTCGAGATTTTCCTTCACTATTGCATCCGTTAGGTAAGAGCGGAGATCGTTAATGTTATGGAATTACAGTGGATTGGTTACCTTGGCTAGCTGTTGTAGTTTGGCCGTGTTTGGAGTAGGGCATGATGTTATGTCAGGTGTTTCCCACTCCGCCATATCCAACGTGCTGTTGTGCATTCTAGGAGCGATGGCGCAGCGGCGGGTTGCAAACCGAACGACGCCGTCGTCCAGTGAAACAGGACAGGGCAGTGTCTCCGTGGCATTCAAGAATGTCTCCGACCAGTCGAACAGCCCTCGCAACCCGCCGTCAATTGTTTCAGGGCTGCATACGTCTGGACATATTGGGAGCACAGTATGACACGGTTGTTATTCACACATGTATAAGTAAGCCTACCCAGCATTTCGGTTGTTATAGGCATCATCTAGAGTGTTTGGAATACAATCTCGCAAATCACGATAAACTGTATCAATACCAAACAAAAACAATCTACAGTCAACTTTGCATATAACGACACTCGGCGGGGCATCAGAAAAGTGTCCTTATTCGTAATCCTGGCCTTTTATTACAAAAGCAGTCATATTCCTTACTATGACTCTCACCATAGGCAAACACTTGCAATGATCCGGGCACAAGGTTTAGTGAACCCACGCTGCTCGTCTGGAGAGCAGCTGTGAAGTTTCCATGAAGGTTGACGACCGAGCTGTTACCAGCGATGTCTGAAATGAAGTCAGCTGGAGCAGTGATGTCACATTTTATATCTACAATGCTTGAGCTGTCCAAGCACAAGAGAAAAATAGAAAGTAGATGTTCGATTTTGTTTGTAAGATGTATTGGGACCCGATGTAGCCAACTTGCTGGGAATCACGGAGAAAGGTTTATGCTTACAACGTCCATGGAAGAAGCGAGAGAAATATTTGTTCATTCTGATAAGGTCACAAGTAAAATTCGTGCAACAAACTCTCCTCCTCATCCATGCGCTCTATAGCCAACCATGCGCAGGACAGTTTGTTGTATTATTCAACAGCCGATGGAACCGTTCACCGTTTTATTGATATTAGAGAGTTTACGCTTCACGTTTTTTCAATTTCGAACGTGAGATCTCACGGCCAAAATGGCGCATCTCACTTTGAAACGTGAGATTTCAACTTGACAGCGGTCCAACTCACGGTGGAAAAAGCGTGAGTTTATTCAAGTAATTCCAACGTTTTTTTGCTCAGAATCTCGGGAATCTAGATAACTCTAGTACAATTCGATTTTTTCCTTTTGTTTTCTAAACGAATCATCCTCTGGTCGCGACCCCATGACCTCCTTGGGTTCTAAACGGATCAACGTCAGGTTGCATCCCCATGACCTCTTCGGAAAACTCACGTCATTTCAGCACGTTCAGCGTAAACTCTCCACACAACTCCAACACGGTCAAATTCAAAGCACGTTTTTTTCTCACGTTCGAAATTGAAAAAACGTGAAGCCTAAACTCTCTATTGATAGAATTCGCGGTGAAGCTAGGCTCAATTGACCATTAAACACACAAAAGGGTTGGGCCCACCTGCAGGCTGACCGTTATGCGGATGTATTCTAGAGTGCTGTTGAACATTAAAATACGGCTACCAGATGACCATCTTACGATATGAGCGTGTATTGGAAATAGTCGATTTGAACATTCCGTCCGCGGAAGAGGCGCATCAGGATCTGTGAGCATACACAAAAACAATTCACTTAGAGGATTGACTTAGACATGCCTTCCTTCCATTAGGGTCCGAGTGGGTACTTCCGTTACTGCTCCAGTGTAGTATGAACTGTTCAGGTACAGGTGGAGGAGTTGAAACCGACAGGTTCATGGCATGAAGTTGACGTTTACTGTTTTGATGTTGTATACTTTATTAAATAGTGGAAATCAAAACAGGCACACATCAAAATAAATAACAATGAACCCACTGTAAATAGAATTTAAAGGATTGTGTGGAAAAGAAAAGATAAGAAAAAGAAAGTGATGAGCATGACTTAATCCTCGTGAAAATGTCGTTCTTGTAAAAGTGGCACTTTTGAGTTACAGCAAACTATCACGTACATGAATGGTGTATTATAAGCCTAGCCTTGTTGATAGGTGACATAATTATTTTGGTTGACCGAATGTTACAAGGCGGAGGACACATTGTGTTGAAAACCTGTGTTCCTGACTACAAGCATCATAATACGTACCTCGTTTTCAAACAGCGAACGCATTTCAGAGGCTGTGAGCGTAGCATGTACACCGGACCCGGAGTAGTCTCCGGACAAGCCAATGTGTGCAACACCTACAGCGGGAAAGCAACAAAATAAAATTGTCAAGAACACTGATAATGTTTTCTAATTGTCCGCAAACTCCAACGCAGACACTTGTCCTTTTAGGAAACTTCACTTTTCAACCTCAAAAAGCGGTCTCTTCGCTGCGATTCAAATTAAAATAAAGATTTACATTACATCAAATATTCGTGCTTGGCCCATCATCAGCGTAATGAAACACTGATGATAATCTCACTCCCAAAGACAAGAATGCAGTTGCACTCAGCCTTGAAATCCGACCAAAGTATTATTCTGACACCCTCAAACTGCAGGGTCCTCAATGCCCGGGACATGGCACGAATGTGCCTGGTGTGCACACGCACAACTGCTCTATGTAATCGGAAATGTTCCATGGCTCTAGGCTTGCACTGTGATCGGATTTACCATGCGCAACTGTACCTATTCAACAGTGTACTGTGAACATTTCCAACTTGCAGCCCAGACATATAGCAAACACTTGCCTTGAACAGTAAGTTGAAGTTGTGACGTGACACTACCAATTGGATTCTGTACTGTGCAAATGTAGTTTCCGGTGTGGCAAAGCTGCAGGGATGCGATTGTCAGCAAGACTGTGTTTGCATCCGCCGGCACGATTGTCACACCGGGGCACTGTGGAACAGTTTTGGTGCACTGACTGCCCTGTTGATAACACCAATTAGCCGTGGGCGATGGATGGCCAGTAAAGATGCATGGAACAGTCAAGGCTGATCCTTCGAAGGATAGCACTGTCGATGGTATGGGTGGATTGATAACAGGTGACACTGTCCACAATGAGAAATACAAGAATAATAGGGCAGTTACCATAAACAATATAATTTGGAATTTTGGGAGATGTTTGAGGTGTGCGTAAAATTTTCAATTATAACCGTCGAACTTTTTTCTTTTCCTTTTCAAGGTGAAACAATTCTAGTACTACCAATATACGACGCGATTGGCCCATGTACATGCAAGTGCTCTGGCCAGTGCCCGTCACTTGGAATTTCATTGCAAATAGGTCCAGTTGCGGCATCTACATCTCACACAGTGGCAAGTGACATCAAACAGGAGTGTGTTGCCATCTTGCTGGAACGCTTTACTTTGCGACCATGTATCTACTGAGCGGGGCATTGATCTCAATCCTATCGATGAATTCATAGTCAATTAGATCTGTGTATACAACAGAGACCTGTCAATGAACAGTTTGATTCATCAGCCGACATAAGTTGTATTTCTCGCCGGCCGAGCGCAGCGAGATAGGCGAGAAATGATTTCTCGCGAAATATTTTCAGTTGCAAATATGGCATCTGGTGTGCTCTTTATTGTTGCTTCTTTTCCTGACTTCTTCAGTCAGTTTTGAGTCTCACAAGTGTCCCTGCCCTCCCACCCTTTATTTCTGTGCATATTATCTATGCTTTTTTATCACTTTTGCCGTGATGTGCTTGCCATGCCTACATGATGCCTAATAGCCATTGGGGATATACACCCGGTTTTTTCCCTCACAACTGCGTCCGTCGGCGCGAGGGTTTTTCCCCAGCTGGCTCGGTCCAGGAAAATTACTCTGACGGTCCCAAGTGGTTCTGCATCATGGCCTATTTCTGCTATCCACTGGCACGCCTATTCTATCTGAGACACTCTGTTCTCAGTCCTTGCTTCCATACCTCACTCGTTATCCGGTTCACATCTGGCTGCGGCCAACTACCCTTCACTTTGTGTCGTGTTGCTATTGCTGTCCATGTCTCTGTGTGTGCTAGTATATGTGGAGGGAGAATATCACCCGTATAGTACAGTTTAATTTCTATCACCCCGTATGATGACATAGTACCAGTCGCTGCTACTCAGATATACTGTACATGTGACAAAGATAAGGGGTTTTATGGCAAAAAACCCGTTTTTAAAAGTGGAGTTTTGTTGTACTAGACCTCTACACATGACGTATTCAGGTTCAAAAGCGAACAGCTTGTTTTGAGCAAACATATCTCCTAGCCTTACTGTGCACGTCGAGAGTTGCTGGATTTCCAGTAGCTATACCACCAGCATACATGTCTTGGTTACTAGCTACACATTGATAGGTGTCTGTATCCGTCACCTCTGTGCCGTAGATGGTCAGTATAGCATCACCTCGGTAGAACGACACTCTTCCCACCAAATCGTCTTTCTGAAGCAGCTACAAGGAAACACAGACAAAATGCAGCGGGGTTTAGAGCTGAAAACGATGCTGTTCCGCATCTAGAAATGAGTTAGACCAAGAAGAATTTCGACACCTATTCCATCTAGTGAACAGTCAAACAAATCTAATGCTAACGGCATGCTAGAACAATATGTTTTATGAAATTAATATGGTCAACAACTCACCAATCCACGCTTGTACCACTCCACAGTAGGTGTGGGGACTCCATAGACATTGCACTTTAGAACAGCAGTATTGCCGGCTAAAACTGATTGGTTTGCCGTCAACAGAAGTTGTACTGCAGGAACTGTCCACAAGAACAATATGAAATCCAAAGACCGAAATGTTAAAATACCAATGCAGGATACAATTTTAATGCTCGATAAAGATTTCAAATGTGAACTGACTTAGAAGAACCTGTAGGCATGCAACACTGATGTGACGGGCATAACAAGCAAGAGAATGAGAAGTGCCCCCCCCCCCCCCCATTTTCCAACATATGACAACAATGGTATGAGGTCAACGTGGATTCCAATCTGTAACAGAGGTATTATAATTATGTTGTTGAATTCTACATTCTCACGATGGCATCATCTCCAATAAGAGATACGTTTATGAGAAGGTGAGATGCTGTGGGTGGGGCTGTGGGCTATGTAGTTGGATGTTTGTGTGTGTGTGTGTGGGATGGGGGGAGGGGGGGGGGGGGTATGTTGTTGAAAAGGCTGATGATGGTGATGATGATATGTTGACCAAATCAGCTTACCATATATATGAACATATGCAGTGGCCTGTGCATCTGGTTTGTGTATGTTCTCCACCACACATGTGTAGTTGCCCTGGTGCACGTCATTCTGTACTGATGGGATTGTGAGGGTGGAGTTCACTACGAAACTTCCGCGTAGGTTGACGGCAGTATTGGGCTGCTCCATGTTGACGTATTGCAGAGTATGGCCACTACTGCTGTTGTACATCCAGTATATATTAGGTGTTGGCAATCCACTGGCTACGCAATACAGGATGACGTCGGTGTCCTGATTTACGCGCTGTGTAGACGGAGGTGTGAGAATCTCCGGCCGCTCTATACACAGAAGAAAATGCAAGTAAAAAGGAATAACAAATTTACTGATTTCGGAACTTAGTTAGGATGGCGTTCCATGATTTCAATTTCTACTGCCCACGTCCGCACAGAGTCCTAGGCTACACTAAATGAATACCTCTACAAATCTCTCCAAATAATAATGATAATAATAATAAAACTCCTCGCCGTTTGGCGGGATAACTAATTCCGAACTAATTCCGAACAGGCGCCGTCCTCGCCGTTTGTTCAAATAATAACACAGGTCGCGTTATGAAGCAGCATAACGATAGATGTGCAAATTCATGATGCCTGGTCCGCTTTTGTCCTGGGTTCACTACCCCCTGCATTGCAGCCACGGGCAAAACCAGCTCAGGCTGAGAGTTCCCTTCATGATTGCTTGTCCAATAGGCGCATTCTGAGCCCACTCAGATCGGTCATGGTCTTTGTCCATTGCCTACTGTGGCAGGGCGTCTGAGGGCATCCTCAGAACATGACCCAGGATCCGGAAACTGCGGACAGCAACGGTGTGCGAGAGTGGCTGTGTGTGTGCTCTGGAATATAGGTCTTTATTGGAGATGATGGCGGGATAACTAATTCCGAACAGGCTCCATAGTTGACGTCTATGTAAGGCGTTCAGCTTCTCCAGTGCAGCCTCCGTCAGTCTCCAGGTTTCGCAGTTGTATAGCAGTGTTGGTAGGACGATGGCATTGTAGAGATGAAGCCTGGTTTCCTCCTAATCTCTCCAAAACAAACTTCAAATTTCCTTTCCTCGATTTTGGAACTCTTCGTTAACAACCCAAACTCCAGAGATGACACACTTCATCATCACGGGTAGGATAAGTGCTGCAAGATGTCAAGAATGCCTGTTGTCGCGCCAAAATTAGCGATCACTCTACAAGAACTATCCTCAGGGTGTGCAGACTCCACTGGAGCCATCTCATCTCTCATGCATTTATACATCACCACCCACAACGGTCTCCCGGCTACAGTACTTCCAAAAAAATACATCAATTCAACATGTTGCCTGATGATCGTACTTCGAAAGTAGTAATATGTTATACTCAGAGTTGCGACACAGCTTCCAATCTCTCTTGTGCATCAATTCGATACAAATTTTCTGCGCAGTCCCTTCCTCAAGCCTATCGCTCCACAAACACACGATAATAAATTGATCTGACTTGGGTGCATGAATTTGATTGCATTTGCTGTGCTATTTGGATATCGATCACATTGGATTTCATCAGCAAATTTAGTTATCCAATGAAATCAATGCATTTTTCCAACAAGTATCAGCACAAAAGCCTGAACGATTTTCCGTACCTGCATATGTGAGAGTGAAGTCCAGGCGAACCTCACCAGCTAGATTTCCTAATTTGACAGTGTAATCGCCTGCGTCATTGTGATTCATTTGGAAAAACGTCAGTGAGTGTCCACTAGCAGAAAGAGAGTATAGTGGAGACAGCGCACTCCATTGGGAGTCAAATTTCTGAAACAAAAAGGGCAAACAGAAGAAACAAAGGTCAATGGTTCCGGTGGTGGTGGTTCAATCCGACTCATTGGCCTGGTCGTGTCCCGTTCACAGCCGAGATGCTCATGTCCTACAAGACTTCTCAATACGCATACTTTTTGTGTTTTGTGAAACACATTCTTCCGTTCGCTGGTTACTACATAATGAAGATTGGTGCACCATGTTAGAAAATCGACGCTGTGAAATAAACCCCGATATCACCACACAATCTACCCTGTCATTGTAGGTATGACAGGTATACAACTACTTTGAAATAGCTTCACAGTAAAATACTTCCTCAGCGGCATTAAGATTGTCGCTTCGCACATCTGTTTGTGACTTGGCTCGTCTTAGTCGGACTGTCGGAATCGCTGTTTTCTGTGTTCGACCATTGGAGCGACCCTTCCTGCGCAATGTCCACTTGTTACTGAAGCCGTGGTGGTCTTGGACTTTGTCGGAGCTCTCTTCCGCACCAAGTAAATTCATCGCACTCCGCACTTTTCCGCCCAGAGCGCATATCCTTTTTCTGGAGTTCGTGCCGTACCACATCATTCGCTTGGGCATTTATCACGACTGCAAGCTTGGGTATAAGAATCCTGAATGCGAAATGCTGAAGTTGACAATGGGAAGAACAAAGTGTTCTCAAATTCCTGAAATGAGCTACGTGTGGCGCATGTTGTTGCGAAGGTGGCAGGTCTGAAAATAGTTCAAAATACCAACAAAATCAGCGAAGCGCTTGCCAAGGAAAGAAGGTGCGGAACTGCTTATCCTACACCACTGGAAGACCGTTACAGTGTACTTGAAAGTGATAGTTTGGTCCGTCGACAATGCTCTGCCTCAATTTCTAGCTGATTTCTTTGCCCTTCCAGGGGACGAAATAAACTCGAAAAATTGCTCTGGGAAGCGACAATTTTAATGATGCGGGGCTAGTAGGTTTTAAAGGAACTATGCACTCTAGCATCCTGAAATGTTTTAGTCTTCTGTTGGTACAACCACTGCTGTATTGGGTTCTTGTTTGTGAATTTTATTTGTTGGGGGGGGGGGGTGTGAGTATGCTGCCATACTGGGTTGTGGACCTGTCTTTCTGTCCAGCTTTTATAGCTCACTCATCTTGAAACCACCGAGGAGCGGGCACCCACATCGCCAGCTGCAGCATGGTAATTTTTTTAAAGATGTGGGACGGCAATGAGCTCAAGCCAGGGACCTCTCAGCTCAAGCAGGCAACAGCAGTATCAATTATCTACCAATTGGGCTTGTTCCGATGGGCCCTAAAAAGCTACATCCGTTATTCATACTATAGGCGATTAAGCTGAGAGTTACGAAACCGCAACTGCTCGTTCTTCTGTCTGTTATGATTAGAAGTAGGACACACTTCAGGCTCTTGAACATTTTGAAAGTTTTCACCAGTATACTTTCATGCCTTATCATCAGGTGAAAATAAAGGCAACATCAAATGAACATGAACAATGGAGTAAATTTAGCAGAGATGTGATAGAAACAACAAAAGGGAAAAAACTTCTGTCTGTAAAGGCGAATATGGTAGTCCAAGATCTAAGATGCAAGCAGCCTTCCTAGTTCCTACCTTGGACCATGTGATGTTGTAGTAAGGAACAGGTGGGTGACCTTGGTGAGTTACTACCGCTTTCAAGGTAACTTGGTCTCCTCTCAGTCCCACTTGTACGGCCTTGTCAGGAGCACCACTCGGTAGAACTGCAGTAGAAGGAACACCATAAGGCATACATGACGATTTTACGATAGGGATTTTCCATTTTTTTTAGAACACGGAGGCTCCACTGCAGCCAATTCATATTATGACCAGTCACCAGCACTACACAAAGGACGTTGACGCTGCAAATTCAAAACTCTGCACTCACATCACCATCACCACAGCGAGGACAATTCCGGTATATAATTGATAATGACAATGACCCTCCACTTTCCAATTTTCCAATGATGTAGATAGCAAGCTGTTTCAGTCATGTAGGCCTCATCAGTACAACTGTGAGCTTTTAAAAGTAAGTCGAGCTACCGACCATGGTGCAAAGGAGGTGGCATCACAGACAATAATTTAAGAAAACTCATTGCTGTAGCGCCAGAGTGCTCAAACTACGAGGAGTACCGGGCAATGTGTAATGCAGCAGCACTAGAGCAGCCTACCCAGAGTGCTCAACAAGACGAATGTCGAGGAGCGTGATACCCAATGCTGTAGACAGCAAGCTGTTTTTCGGCCATATAGGCCCCGATAGGGATTTTCTATAGCCAAGCGCACAGTTTCAAAATGCAAGCACTGCCGCTACCTAATGCTGTTCAATCCTAACTGTTACGCACTTCTATACTTGAAGTACTAGCAGTGGTTAAACAAACGGCGAGGAGACAACAGGAAGATAGTGTAATTACGTTCTAAAAAGTTGTTCAGGCCGTGCTGGGCCACTACTATTCTCTGCACACTGTACTGCTGTAATGATTTTCACACTGTACTGCGCGCCAATTTAGCCCTATAAAGATCAGCCTATTCTTATTTTTCTTTCAGTCAACATCATATGCCTCCACTGATGAGCTCAGGAGGAGCAAAACAGCTGTCTAGAGGGTCATTGTCAATATCAATCTATATACCGGGAATTGTCCTCGCTGTGGTGATGGTGATGTGAGTGCAGAGTTTGGATCGGCCAAGAGCGCAATGTGGTGGTGTGGTGTATTGGATTCCATAATGGCCGGGTAGTCGCTACTTCTTCTCAACTGTACTGCTGTTATAAATTTCACACTGTACTATTAGCACTTTGTTAGTACCCACTTGATGGGTATTTCTCACTTTCATCGTTACAAACCACACTTGTAAATTTCAGCACAGTCACTAGGTGTAGCTACTCTCTAGTTGTTGTATAAAATTTCATCTGTTGCAATGTCCATTAGTTCAACGATGAATCCTCGCGATTTTTGGAAAAAAATGTTCGAATCTTCTCGCTCCACATATACCGTAAAATCCCGCCGGAGCGCCCCGTCTCTCCCATCCGCCCCTCCCTGACTTCTTGTCAGGGACGTGATTGATTGTATCCTCGTATGACTCTGTCGCAGTCTGTGATGCCGTACTGCACTGCAGACGCGTGCTCGTCGACTGCTCGACCCCATTGGAAATGTACTCAACAGTGCCCACCCTCCTGACCAGGGATCGCACAAACCCTGCGTTTTGTCGGGTCTGTACGACTCCTGGCTCTGGACCTTTGGTCGGTGTACGAGATGCACGACCAGTTTTCGTAGGGTGAGTACTTTTTCATGTAGCACTGCATGCGGCAAGTAGGACTCGCCCATCCGCCCCTCCCCACCTGACGCGTCGAGGAGGTAGGGGCGCTCTGGCGGGATTTTACGGTACTGGCACACACAGACACTTAGACAGCAATAGCGACACTACACAAAGTGAAGGGTAGTTGGCCGCAGCCAGATGTGAAAAAATTGTTCGAATCTTTCTCCATTGTTAACATCACTATTAGATCTTCTTTCCTTGTTGTTAATGCACATTTTACCTATCTAATTACACATTTTAATGGGGTAGTCACATGTCCATAAAACTGGTTCTCTTTTGGCGACACTAGGAGCAGAGCATTTCCTTTTTATTGCTGTGCCCTCTGTTTGTGAGAGTATCAAGAGAAACATTAAGAGCTCCGCAATGGATAAAAGGTTTTTCCCCGGGATTGCATTCATATCTCCCATTAACGAGCGTAGTGTAACATCTGGCTAGATCGGTTGTTCAAAACGCCCAGTAGCAGCTCTCTGGCTAGATTGAATCTTACCGTACACTGTCAAAGTCGCCGGAGTGCCTGACACGGTTCCTCCCCAGGTTTTGCTGGGATTAGTGTTGTCAGCAAAACAGTGATAGTCACCACGTTCAATGTACTGGACATTCGTGATGTTCAAGATTGACGCACTCTTGGAGAGATGCACTCTGTTTGACAGGAAGGCCTGACTCGTGTGGAGATCCTTCAATGAACACAAACAGGACAAGTTTACGCAGGGCACACAAATTTGAACATTTCTCACACCAACAAACCAGTGAGAAGACACACATTTTGGATCGATAACTGTTTAACCAAACACCAGTCATGTCTTACTGATTTCGTGTTACTCAAATTACCAATGATCTCTGCATGATAGCGTATTCCAGCGCACAATATACGAGATTAATAACTAACATGGGGAATTAGCGTAAATCAACCAGCATACAAATACATGCACAGTCCTGGAGAGATAAATTCGACTTCCGGAAAAGTACTGCCCTGTGCTTCGCGGCCCTCATTCCACACAAACATACACATGCACTGCCACATATACCCACACACGCATACATACACGCCCACACGCCCACACAACACACTACACTTCACACTTGTGCTGCTTTACTCATTTAGTCGAACTTCTCTGGCCAGAATTCTTTGCGTGGCAAAGGTAACTGATTTCTCTACGTTAGTCATACCTTTCCATCATGGAACCAGGTGAGGCGTGGATTGGTTATACCATACATATTACAAACAAATTGCACTGTCCCACCACGATTGCTGACAACATCCTTAGGGGGTGATAGCTGTCTTGGTGGAACTGTAAAAAGCAAACAAAAAACAAAAAAAACAGAGCAAAGCACAGTTTTTCAGACGTGCTCAAAACAGAACTATGCGCTTCAAAGATACGCTCTACGATAATAATTATTATGTGTTCAGCAGAGTTGCTCTCACGCTACATCCACTTTTTGACACAAGCATCTTGAAACGATAACCAACAGAAGGCAATATTCCATGATTAAGTTTCCATGCCAGTGCTAGACAGAATGTTTTTTGAGGGATATTAATTATGATAGCTTACCATGGACATCCAGGCTTGCTGACGACTTTACACTTGGCGGATGTATGTTGCTGGCCTCACATGAGTATGTTCCTTGGCTGGCATTGTTGCTAACATTTGTAAGCGTCAACGTGGAAAGAGTAGCATAGACTCCCCTCTGCACGGTAGCCAAATCCACATATGATGACATTGTGTAGAGTGCAGGGGACAGCTGGGATGTGTTGTGATAGAAAGTTACTATAGGCACCGGGTTGCCATGAGCGATACATGAGAAGATCGCATTGCCCCCTTGGTTAACTGACACACCTTTCAGAGTCTGAGTCATTGATGCAGGTTCTACAGCAAGAAAACAGGGACGAATTCGCAGCACATCGTGGTCATATCATCAGTCAATTTAGTTATTCTCCGCCAAATAAATCTGAGTTGAAACGTTCTTGTTGGTACTGGATGAGTGAGTGTACCGACAGCCAGAAACACGAAAACATGTTTCACCGCAAATAATTTTGAAATTTGTGTTCTGTCCTATGACGCTTGAACCAGTTTAGATGTGGAAATCCCTGCAGGGGTCATTCAGTATTTCTCCTGACAATCCTCCGCTTGTATACCGGTAAAAAAAACCCTGGTCGGATACATGGCTATATGCTCAAGGTACAGCAGACTAGCATTATGGAGATGCCGAGCACATGAACAAAATTGGATTTTGTACGTGTTTACCTTGATAATGAACGGTGAAGTTGACTTTCACTTTTCCAGCCGAGTTGCCAAGTTCCACAAAATATTGTCCTGCAACCCGATAAATCACAGCTGGTATGGTCAGATTGAGGTAATCGGATGAAAGGTACCTTTTGTTAGCGGCTAACCATGATGTTTGGCCAACCTGGAACACAAGGAAGCACAATGTAATGTTCATCATCAGTCACAACGAAGTACCAGCCACATGCAAAGAACCAGAAAACAAGGGCGCACATCCATGACCACACTCGAGCGAACAAGAAAAATATAGGAACGAGGACTGTCCTCAGAAATTTGGCCCAGTGAGGCTGTTACATGAGATGAGCTGCAATCAGATTTCCCAAGCTCTGTTGTCAACCAGCGAAGCAGCAAAGTATAAGTGAGAAGGAGGCCGTGATGCCATGAATCAAACTATCCAAATGTCCTGTCAGTTCTTTGAACAGCCTCTACCATCAACAACTAGCCATGTTGTTAGACAAGAATGCAGATATGCCTGTCCATCTGTTGAAAAAAAAAACCCAAAAAAACCCTCACCTTGCTCCACGTTATTCCCATTAATTCGACGGCGGGTATTCCAGGATTGAGCAGTTTCACAGCTAGTGTCAGCGGTCGGTGTTGTACGCCAATTACAGTTTGGTGCAAAGCAACAGCTCTCGGTGGCAAACGGTTATCTGAGACGGTTTAAAACAAATGAAAAGTACATCTAAATAACTTTCTTGGAGACAGGAAGCTTACCAGGGAAAGAAAAACTACAAATCTCAAGCTTCTCTTCACCATCATCAACAATAAGGACTCTGAAATTCATGAACCAGTAATATCTCTCAAGTTGTTTACAGACACCCCTGATCCCACTAGTTAATGTAGCGTCCATTTGGTGTTTGTCTTTACACAGTGTGAGTTTTCAGTTCCTCCTGTCTCACTTCTCACCTTCCTTTCTCTTTTTCCCTTTTTTCTCATCACCCCTTGTTCATAAATTCTTCGCTAAATTTATCACCTAATCGTAATGGCTACCACCCTCGTCATGCTACGTGTCCCTATGTTTCATTGGCTCTAGTTGCTTGTATTTCGTTTGAAGAGAATGCCCGAAAACTGGTTCATGAAATTCGGAGTCCTTATTCTTGATGATGGTGAAGAATAGCTTGAGATTTTTTGTAGTTTTTCTTTCCCAGATAAGTACGTCTTTAGTAAATAGCAAGACAGGTAGATAGCCAGGCTTATGCGGGACATTTTCAACGCTCGATGTTTTATGTGATCTATATTTTGATCCAAAGCAACAGCTCTCTGTGACAATTTAATATCAGAAAAAGAACATAAACGAAATAGGAACAACATCATATTATAATGGCTTTCAAGAGAATTTAGCATTCAAGGAATTAGACACAAACGAAGAACATCACATTGATATGAAAAGATACCTAGGTTGCTACTAGAACTATGCAATTGATACAAGTCATACAGATTGTGAGCACAACAATAGTGAGGAGAAGGAAGGGGTGACAACAGCACAATTCAAGTGAGGAAATAAAAAGTATGATAACAAGTAACATACCACCCTGTAATAAGGTGCTACAAATAGGCACACCAAACTACAAGACTGATAAATATGGTGGTAAAGACACACCTGGCAATATGGCGGTAAACACACGCCTGCCCACACACGCTCTCTAGGCTGCCATGCGCTACTTGATGTACCAGCCTGCTATGCCGGATACCGCCAGCCATGCATCGACCAGGCGCCAGGCGCGAACTGATGGTGGTGGTGGTGAGAAGGAGAGCTCTATGCCAGAACTTTGCAGCCTAGAGAGCGTGTGTGGGCAGGCGTGTGTTTACCGCCATATTGCCAGGTGTGTCTTTACCACCATATTTATCAACCATAAGTACAGCTGCAGTGGTGTCTTCAACTTCATTCTCCCAAACTACAAGACAGTAACAAAAGGGACAAACAAACTATCACAGAGAAAGTGTGAGCGTTGTGTGAGTATGCGAGTGTTGTTTCAGTATTTATACACAATCCTTTTGGCGACACTTGTATCACTTGCATAATTCTTGTCTAGTTCTCAAACCTAGGTACTTGTATTATTTGTAGATCTTTTCATATCAATATAATGTTCTTCTTTTTTGTCTAATTTCTTGAGTGACAATAACCACTGATGAAAGTCGCAAGAAGCTGTTCTGAATAGCTATAATTGTACTTTGTACATCCTATTGATAGCCATAATAACATGAACAGTTCATCTTTGTCAGCAAATACCACATGTAAAATATCAGGCATATAATGGGACATTCTACCTTCCACTTCAAAACATTTTCTTCTCCTCTTCCCATCGTTATCATTGTGCGGAGACGATTCATCGCTTACCTGGAGTTAGCGTCCTTTGAGAGATTGTTTTGCTAAACGGACTGGGGCCGACAGACGTCCATGCTCTCACATCAAACAAGTACCACGTGCTGGGCAGTAAGCCAGTGATGACGATATAGAATGTGTTTGATGACACCACCACACTACCTGCCATGGCTGTTGGTGATGCAGTTGAGCCGGGAATCTAGAAATTTCAAATAACAGAACTGATTCTTGTAGACCAACGTCACCTTTTTAACTTAAACATGAATGGGGAAATTAATGGAAATGTTTTTTTGGGAAATTAATATCAAGATAAACAGTACAAAACTGGGCAAAGGAAAGATAGTTGCAACTCTGAGTTATCACGCTCAGTGGCATGCAATCATTAGGACACAAAGATGTTGTATTTCTTGCAAAACATTTTCAGTTGAAAATATGGCATCTGGTGTGTTCTTTATTGTCGTTTCTTTTCCTGACTTCTTCAGTCAGTTTTGAGTCTCACCAGTGTCCCTGCCCTCCCACCCTTCATTTCTGTGCATCTTATCATTGCATTTTTATCACTTTTTGCCGTGATGTGCTTGCCATGGCTACATGATGCCTAATCGCCCTTGAGGATGTACACCCGTTTTTTCCCTCACAACTGCGTCCGACGGAGCGAGTGATTTTTCCCGGCTGGCTCTGTCCAGGAAAATTAATCTGACGCTCCCAAGTGGTTCTTTATCATGGCCTATTTTTGCTATCCGCTGGCACACCTATACTATCTGAGACACTCTGTTCTCCGGTACACATCTGGCTGCGGCCAACTACCCTTCATTTTGTGTGTTGTCCCTATTGCTGTCTATGTCTTTGTGTGTGCCAGTATATGTGGAACGAGAATATTTTTTTGCTACGGCAGTGTTAATTCAAGGAGATCAAGATCAAGGTATCAAGAAACGAAAATGTTTGGGAATCTCGACACCACTGCTTCCAGATTTTACCTTCCCGATAATGCAAAATTATCCAAGCAAGGCATTTTAACATGACTGGAATCTAGCAACTATGCCCTGTTTTCGTGATCAATGTGAACATGAAGAGAGTGTCCAGCAAGTTGTCAAATATAACACCTTATACTAGAATAAACCAATTCAATCAACTTGATTACCAAGAACAGCTTTGGTTACATTGATGCACATTCATTGTCTATGGTGACCTGCTTTTGTGTAACCCACAAGCTTATTCTACTACTTCGAGTAGGAATGGCACACCAAAATACAGACCGGAAAATAGTCAGTAAAACAATACAAGAGAGAGTTTGGAAGCTTTGTCACAACTCCGAGTTTCACGTTTCTCTACGATCATCAGGCAACTGATGGATCCAAAACGGGCAGCCAGAACATAAGGGAGAGCAAGGTGGGAAATTCCAAGGGGTGTCATAGGCGACGCGTATCATAGCGCAAGAGTCAGGTGCAGGCGTGAAGTTGCCAAGTCTTCAGACTTGGGGCTATTCGGACAGTGAAGCACACCACTTGACTACGTCAGTAAAACAATATCAATTCCAGATCATACGTGACTGGCCATAGCTAAAACAATCCTCACCTTGGTCTGCAAGTAATATGATGCTTCGAACTTGACCAATAATCCATTTTTCTCACCGCATGCCACATCGGCCCAAGTGAAATTGATAGTGCTTGGACTAGCTGCAACGGCTTTCACAGTCCGTGGTGCTCCGAATGGCGCTGGCAAGTGAGACATACATGTATGAGGGAAGAGTTGTGCAGCACAGAAACCGTTACGAAACACGATTCAGTGCAAGCTAGACATGGGGAAAGAACTCACCTTACAGACCGGTAAGAATTCGCCTTATACCAGTAAATTACTGTTCTTGAAAACACGTATTCTTTCTAAAATACATGTTTGAGGTCAAGTCAACTTTTTTTATCATGAACGGCTTAGTAATTTTGAAAGGATTAGGAGAACTTCAAATTGAAAGGAACAAACGGGTTAGTAAATCTGATTAGTAATTATTTGTACATGTAACTCTATTGGAATTTCATGATCGATGGTGTTGCGGCATTTCGAAGGCCACAGGCTTGGTCAACTCGGAATAGAAATGTGGTTATGATCAACAATACTAGCTTCCACTTACCGGATTGCACAGTTTCCACGTCGAGCGCTGGGCTATAAGGTCCAAAGCCGATGCGATTTGCTGCTCGTACGCGTATGCGATATGTCTGGTTTGCATTCACGGGTATGCTTGTCCGAAGTAGGTATGGAGGCAGCACCGTTGCATTTGTGACTATTTTCTTCAGGCATGTTTGATAAGAAAACCTGCACCAAAAGCATGAAAAGGAAGGTAAAATTAGTTCACAAAGGTAAAAGTAACCATTTCTCTTATTGGCCCCAGGCCATCGTGAGAATAAAACAATTCTCTAAGACATTAATCTAAGAGTGTGTTGAGGGTGTATGAGTAGGATTAATGGCTGTAGTCCGGACTAACATCATGCATCGAGTGAAGTGTCCAAACCGTTAGCATTAGCATTAGCATCAGCATTACAAAGCACCACACTTACAGTACGGTGTAGTTATCGATGGCAGCGTTGTTCTCTAGTGGTAGCTGCCAGGCGATGCCGACCAGGAATGCCACGTTTTTGGTCAGCGAAGGGGCCAGTGGAGCATCAGGTACCTCTGCACATAATTATACAAGTGGAATACATAGACATAATGTTAATGGAACCTTGGAGTTAGGTCTATTGACATCACCATATTCTAACTGGATCATCAAATGAACATTGATTGCTGCGACAACGGTCAGTTCTATAAGGGCACCGAGGATGAATTGTGTTGGTGACACTCTTCCGTAATACCAGTTTGTACGAAAGTGTAGATTTTGAGGAAAGTAAAAAGTAAATAACGGCTCCTCCTCGACGTCGCCATAGCTAACTATTATCTGTTACTTGCACAGTCTCACGAAGAGTGCAGTTCCAAAGTAAAATGACAGGCCGTTATTTGTTCGTAATGACAGCGCTCACCTAAGACAGTCACAGATGTTTGAGTGATTAAAGTAGCTGCAGGTGTGGTTGCAGTGCAGATATATGTGCCGTTGTTGGATCGTGAAGACCGTGGGATGATTAATGACGTCATTCTGTAGTAAAGCTGACTTGGAAGAGTTCCTTCAACATTAGAAAATGAGCACAACAAGAAGATAGGAGATTGTCAAAGATTTTGAAGAATTAATCGACACGCTACAGTGGCGGTCAAATGTTTCGTCAATTTTTTTACCCGTCTATCGTATCGACACAGCCGCAAAATGTTACCTGTTTATAACCCGGTATCAATAGTGTGCAGCGATAAACTCGTGACTCTTTCTTTCTAATCCCATTGCGATCCAGCGTCTCCGATTTTGTTCTGTATCCGATGCCATTAATGCACAAAAAAGCTCACACTAGAAGACATGAAATTGATTATGATTATGTAATTTCCTACATAACATCCGGGTTCATGTCCTGGTGGTGACAGCGGATTATTTTCTCAAGAATTATCCCTTTTCCATTCCATTTTCCATTCCCTCCACTAATAGACAAGAAATGGTCCGCGCACCAAATGGCTCGCAAATTTTGATGCATTATGAAATGCAAAGGAAGGATAGTTTGGAAAGAGAATAAGTAGTAGATGGACAATGACATGCCAGTCATGGATAATAAATCCTAATGCACAGAGTGGTAGCTGGACAGCTGCATGCCAGTCTTGGAATATCAATCGACTTCAGTTCTTAAAATGGCCATGTTGACATGCCTACCTGTATCTGTTGTACTCATGGAGATCACCTCTTGACTAGTCAGACCAGGTGCAATGATGGTCAATATGGGTGATGGGAAACCACTGTATCCACACGTCACGTTGATCTGGTCTGGTAACACCACCTCGTGCTGCCCTGTGATGTACTGTAGCATGGGACGCACTGCAAATACATGTACATGTAGAAGGAATGGGCGATACGCGTGAGCTTTCCAGCCAGTATGTTTTACCATGCACATATAAGTCATTGCAGACTTCACTTACAACTGTAGGACAGGAGTTCTCAATGAAATCCCATCCGGGGAGTCAGCGCCACGCCGGGCACTGTGCAGCTCTAGACTTGCTAACAATTGCATGGCGGACAGGGCGCTAACTCGAGCGACGTGATCGGATTTCATTGACCAGCACTGTAGTAAACCTGTCTAAGACAATGAATCTGCTCATTATCAGGATAGACCATGCCCGAAAGTTCGTCGGATTCAATTATTTATTTATTTTGAAGTAACGTCTGCAGTGAAGAGACCATATTTGGAAAGTTCGAGTTGAGGTACTCTAAACCACTATAGTATGTCAGGCAGCAGTAGTACCAATATCTTCATTGATCTGTGCACTCTCTCACAGTCAGGGGGAGGAGCACTGACTTTGTTATGCGTGTTGGACAAGCGTGCAGTTCATTATGGCTTGTGTTTCCAGTTGGGCAAATAGTGCGATATCACATGTCTTGTGCAATCAGTCTTTCACTGCCAATAACAAGCACATATGTAACCCTGTTGTAATAAGGCCACCGGTCTTTAGCAAAAATTTCATAGTGAAGCCTAAGAGTGTGATCAGCTGCATTCCGTCTAGCATATATTTTTCATCAACCCCCAAACCACTGCTGAGACATGTCGAGGTCGGCGGAAGACATTTGAGGCGTGCGGCGCTTGTTGAAAACAGTACGTGTAACCATTAAATGTAAACGTATGCTCGATACTAACTGAGACAAAGAGGGTGAATCTAGTGTGTGACAAACAACACGTAGCCACGGCCGTGCATAAGACTGGTGAGATCACTTTCTGCCACAGTGTGATGTAAACATGGCGTAAACAACATGCCGCTCTATCTTAATTTCCTAAACCTTGGCCACGTTTAGGATAGAGCAGCTCGTTGTTTACGTTACGTTTACATCACACTGTGGCAGAAAGTGATATCACCAGTCTTATGCCGGCCGTGGCCCAACACCGCAGTTGCGGCTCACCGCACCTATCAGACTGAGTTGAATGGCAAATTCTGCGTTAAATTATTGAAACTGAGTTACTGGCAGTGTTTTCGGAACGCTTGCATCATGCTACCGTAATGCAGTTATTGATCGTTACTGTGCTTCCTAACAGCTTGTCTGCAGCTCAGAACACAACAACACACTTAGAGAGTTGTACTCGACATCACTTACTGTACACAGTGATGAATGCCGATGAATTTGCAATGTCGCTCAGCAGTTCATTACCAGTGAATCCGTTCTTTGAAATGCTTCCGCTACATGTGTATATGCCTCGATCGGTGAACCTTGCCAGTGGAAGTGTTAGGGTGCTCCGGTAGCTTTCAGGAAAACTCTGGTTGCCACTCGACACCAATGCTGTTTGTGCCGACCCAGGATGAAGGGGTCCTCCGTCGTGAAGCCAAGATACATTAGGCGCAGGATATCCATACACACTGCACGCAAGTACTATTGAACTGTCTTCCGTTACTGTCTGATTTTGCAGACCTAGTGTAATACGCGGAGGAACTATAGCAGCAGTAGAACACAAGAGGGAGCATACGGTAAAGGTCATTTAGAACATCGGAATGATTCCGTATTAAATTCGCACTTTTACCAAGGCAAAACATGAAAATCATCTCTGATACTCAAGGTCATGTTTCGCAAACCTCTACGCGCACAGCTGCCATCAAAAAGGTCCGGGTCATGGCAGTGCTACACTTCTGCGAAGGCAGAGCAAAGTAAACAACACCACAGTTCAGCAAGGCAATCAATACAGGTTGGTGTTTCATCCTCTGTCCAGTCATCAGGCCAAATAGAGATGCTGGCATACTAAGTGATGTACTCTCAATATTGCCATACCAAAATTAACTTACCACTTGTACATTGCATGAAGTATGGTGTTGAACAGTGCATAGACAGGTGTATTACAGTGAAAACGTGACCCGTAGGGCAGCGGAAACTGTCTTGATATGACAGGATTCTGCTTGGTCTAGGGATACACGTTCGATCCACAAAACATGGGTCATGGACATTCGCCAGTCTATAGAGGGTTCGGCTTGGTACTGGGTCCGGCAAACACGGGTTTTGCTGCATCTTCAAATTACTTGCAAGTTAAATAGAGTAGGCACGTTAGAAAAGTCGTGTTGGCTATGTTGATCTCACCGTAGATATCAAGAAACATGTGCGGCCCTGTGACATTCGACCCTGATGTCAAGTGAGGATCGCGATTATCTGCTTCACAATGGTACACGCCTCTGTCACTGTACGTCAGGTTCTGAATGGACATATTGAAATTGCCTGGCGATACCTGCAGCCTCCCTGCCAACGCTGAAGGTGAGGCGCTGATTGGCTGGAAAGAAAATGGAAAGTTGTTGAAAGAGTCTTTAACTCGGATACTGAGCGAATGATAAATGGAAAATAGAAGAAAAACACATGGGAACGAGTTATGAAGCAACTGTCCACGTTTGTAATACGATCATAATAATTTATTATCAGAATAAATAGACAGAAAGTGCGAGTTGGGGTGTTCAAGAGCTAGGTGTCAAGCCGGTGAATGTCTGAGTAGCCTATCAGTTTTATGGCCTGCTTTTGCACTTTCTGACTGCTTATTATAATCTTGTTACAGTCGTGGACAGTTGCTTGATAGCTCGTTCCCATGTGTTTTTCTTCTATTTTAAATAATATTCTATAGATCGACTTTTACTTGCAGAATTAGAGCTAAATCAGAGACCTTACCTTTCGGCTACCGATATGATAGAGAGCGAAACGCTATACGTTAACTGTCTGTCATCCAGAGATCGAGTTCAATTTTTGTCAGACATCAAAGCTGAACTTCCAAAAAAAAAGAAGGAAATTATCGTGTCCGTTCCCGAAGGGAACTCGCGACAGCCGCTAACACCCGGTAAACCCTGTAAAAAAAGAACTTGCAAATGTTTACCCTAAACGCGGGCTTTAAAGTATAAGCACCAATCTCCTATTCAGGGATACATACAACAGATATTGGAACAGATAACGTGCATTTTCCTTACAGTCTTGCAAGACCGATTTCTATCTTTTACGTATCAATAAGTAGGTACGCGAAGCTAATGTAGGTTAATGGTTCAAGAATAACATTATGGCCCCATTGAATTTTACTTCGTAGAAATCTGAATGATAAGCACTGCTTAAATGATGGCAGGGATTCGGTTCACACGGCACCGCATGAAAAATGAGTCATTATGTCCTGCGAAAGCAAATATAGCTTTAGTATTACCTGTAGATTGTGAAACCAAGAAATCCGTGGAGTAGGAATGCCAAACACATCACAGTAGAACCCTGCTGTGGACATTTCTGAGGACTGTACATCATCGGCTGCTCTTCCATAGCTGACTGGAACTGGAAAGATTGCGACAACAGCATTTCATAAATTCAAACCAGCTGATAAACATATTTGTAACAGAAAGCATGCTAGCAGCTCCAGTCGACACTACAGATCAAACTCACTCCTTCTGGACTAACCAAGAACTGAGGGGAAACCCTCGTCGTGGCCAGCTTCATATTTCAGAATAAATGCAGGGAGTCATATTCGACTCTCTGCTGTGTTTAGAGTACCGTGTGGGAGGTAGAATAAGGATGTGTAGAAAGTGTGTTTCTAAAGGTGGATAGTGTAGAGTAATAGCTGTCCATTATGCATGAATAATAATAAGTAATTCGGGGATGACCATTCAGAGCATGCAGAAAGAGTGTAAGTAATTATGTGATGGGAAGGCGAACGGGAATGGGAGAAGCAGTCTCTAAGACCATTCCCGTCACAGTATTGAATATCTGATTCAGTATCTTTGTTTTGCACCTACTCGACAACCTAGAACCACGAGGAAAGAGAAAATAGAACATTTAACACGAAAACAGGAAGGGAGATGCGAAGACCACTAGAATCAGGAAGGAAAGAACACGAGCTACACATTTTCGCCCTGAAAATTTAAAATATGTAATTTTGAGCATACCTTTTACCAAACATGTTTTCTACTGGATGAATGTTGTTTCTCATCCAGAAACACCTTCAGTAGCTTTATGAAGAGTTCAAGTATGCCTGCAGGTAAACATACCTAGTACTGACAAATAGAATGTTAACGTGTCCCAGCCGGCCTTAGTGCTTGCATTCACGGTGTATATGCCTTGCTGCCACCATTTTATATCAGATATGGACAGCATGTCGCCAGCTGCTGAAATTGAAAATGTTCCGCTGGAACTATTTGTTATCGGTCCCTTTGGCCCGTGCCACACAATCTGGAGAGATCCAGGAGAAAGCAACATGGAAATAGTCTTCAATAGACAATGTACTCCATGATTATTGCAGCATATCAAACTGGACCAGCTGTAGCATGCACTATGAATATCAAAGCGCCACTTTCCAGATTTAGTTACTCAAACCTTGCGTATCAAGTGATTAAACGCCAAAATCATTCTAGGGCAAGATACCAACCCGAACTGAGTGTACTATGACAAAAGATGCCCATATGATCGGTTCCACCATCTAGTTCAATGAATTTGAAATGCGGCAGTCATTTATCAAGGAATAAAGCCTTCTTGAATTCGCACATGCACAAACCAACACATGCGCTCACAAATACACCCGCGCATTGAAGAGTAAACAAAACACGGTCAAATCTTACATCATGTGGCACCAGTGCTGGATTAATTCGAGTGTCCGACGTGAAACCAAGTGAAACATCGTGATAATGTTGGATCGTGAAATTCAGCTTCGTCGAATTCAAATGGGGTTTCCCTGCACGTGAAGCATTGACAAGATAAATTGTCTTCTTGAACGTGAAATTTATTTAATCAAACAGCTAACATCGTTTTGAAAGAGAAAGACCACGAGCGGACACAAATAGCTCCAGATACTAATCCTACCCTGTATTCCTCCAACGTGGACTATCTCCCCATTAAAGAAAATACATGACTGTAGCTAAATCTAGAAGGAAATGGCTGTTTTGAGTCCTAGGTGGCTACCAATCAGGGACGTTACTATCTAGAGTTTAACAAAATTCTAGAGTTTTACCAGGTCTAAATCCACTACAATTTACTACTCCTTCATGACGAGTTCGGTATCCGGGATTGAATTGTAGTCGCCTGCATGTGGTCCAAACACTGCCACTGACCAACTGGTTACCCATAATCAGAGACTTACTGTAGCATTGTGGTGTCGGTGTGGACCATTGCAGATTGTCATCGCATGTTACTGTGGCATTGCCAAACAATGTGAATCCAGTCTCGCAGGCTATTGTGCCCACATTCCCAGGGTACAGTCTACCAGCAGTGACATTGCCATACTTCATTGTTGGAAGGGTACATGACGGCATATCTGAAAACGTTCACAAGCATTGAATGAACACTGTAGCTGCAAATTGCGCAGACTTCCACCGCCTGGAAACCTAGAATCTAACGTACGGGTGTACAAAGCTTCATGGACGGCAAGATGTAGCATAGACTTACCACTTGACAAAACGGAGAACGGAATGGTCTTTATATCCATACCTTTGTGTTCAGAAGGGAAATGTGCTGTCTTTGCAGTTGTTTGGCATTGTTGGTTCGTGCAGGCGTGAAATAGGTTCCATTAACTTCTGACAATTTTCACGTTTTTGTGACCTACCGGTTTCCATCCTGTTTTAGTTCTTCACTTTGATATCGCTCTACCTTTTTTTCATTTTTGCACATCATTAAGTTAATAATAATATTATTATTTCTAACATGGAAATTGTGGGCACAAGTTATGTGATCGAGTCCAACTAAACCAGATTTTGAACAGTCAGACGTGCAAAAAAATTCACGGTTCGCGTGAGACTCGGCCAAAGGCCCAGTTTTCCGCATCCGCAGGAACACCACCACCCTCTTGGATCAAGGCGCAGATGCAGCTCCTAAGCGTTGGGAGGTGAGTAGGTCAGACCCACCACAAAGTGGTCAAAGACCGAAATCCCATTCACTGCACCAGACGTGCAAAATCCAGCACAAAACTGAAAAGGAGTACTGAGACATTCCACGGCATGAAAGTCAGCTTGAGCACTGACTTTCATGCCTTTCATGACTTTCCATAGCGTTTCACAAGACATTTCATTATTTTCCTGCTATAAGAGTTGGTGTGACTTGGAGAGAACACAGCAGCTCTCCTTTGCATGACGATACAATTTATCATAATGGGTACGTCATGGATGGTGTGTACAGCAGCATGGCATTTGTTCATACGAACCTCTGACGCAGACCACATTCAAGTAACGGCCAGAGCAACGATAGTCATTCCACATAGCCGGGAACCTTGTGTCGTACATTCCGATGCAATCCTCTTCCCTCAGATTATTCGGCTCACCATCTATCCAGTTATTATAAGTTAAATTCTTTCCTGTATCTGTCCAGCGAAACACGCCTTCGTTCTACACATTCAAAACAAAATTGAACAGAAAAGGATGACTGAAGAAAATTCAATCTAGTCGCCTAGGGAACTACCCAGTATGGTTTTCTTGTTAGTTATACTGAGACCCGTTGGTTTAGGCTTCAGGATTTGGGAAATCCCCCAAATAATGATAAGGTTTACCGTCTTTGGGCTAACTCAATGTGGACTAATCCGTCCTTAAAAGCCCCCCCCCCCCCCCTCCCCCCTCATGCCACAAAGTGTTATTAGTGACAACACAAAACAGTATTCAATACCTGGAAGTGTGGGGAGTTCGGCCCAGCCTCAAATTTGCCTCCAATGTAAAGTTAAAAGCCCGTCAAGAAGTTCCTCCGGGAAGTATGGCCTCCAAATGGGGAGTAATTAACTTCTTGACCACTGTTACCGATGTTACTATTTGAAATGAAATATATCAAGACAATGGGGAGTTTTCTCTTCACGTAGGTACGTGAGAAAATACCATAGGAGCCACAGGTAATTTATATATGTGGAAATACGCGCTCTTGGGTTTCGCTGCAAGTTATGTCTCCAAGATCGAGGACGATCTGAATCGTGCGTTGTTAGGTTTGAGAGGTGTCGGCTGCATGCGCCCACCGAATGCACCACGATCCTAGATCCAACGAGGAACACACGCTTCTTGCCGAACTTGCTACTTGGAACAACCAACTTCCTGACTAATACCGTCGAAGTAGAAACTTCTAAGAGCATATTGTTGGCCCTCACGCGGACATGCGACTAGTGGTTGGATGTGACAGCGTTGTGAATAGCTACTGGCTCTCAACGTCTGTTTAGCACAACTCCATGAGCGACTCTGACTAACTCTGCTACCTAGGGCTTCACGAGGTGTTTTTCGAGCTGGAAACAAAGCGTCTCTGTAAGTTTGTGTCCCTGGTGATGGTTTGGCCTGGAGAGCAGTATAGAAGTGGTGCTTTTCAGGCACAATCTGCCTCAGCCTACTCAAGCTCAACCGATGAGGGGCAAATTCCCCGAAACAATGCATGTTGACCAGGGAGTGGTGCTTTCTTGCAGGTTTGCCGAGTGGAAGGTGCGACGTGCTCCTCGTTTGCTCCGGATGGCAGTCGTGAGTCAGTCAAGTGCCAAGTTCGACAAGAAGTGTGTGTTCCTCGTTGGAATAACCAACTTCATAAAAATAAGTAAATTATTATATCAATTATTACTTCTTCATCTGCGCCCATCCCCACAACCGCTTTCGCGCTTCAAATGGAGCGTCTCTGTAAGTTTGTTTCCCTGGTGAGGATTTGTACTGGAGAGCTTCACAGTTGTAGGTGGTACATTTCTCGCACTGCCTCTTCCTCAGTCTACTCAAGCTCAACTGATGAGGGGTAAGTTCCCCGAAACACTGTATATTGAGCAGAGAGTGGTGCTGTCCTGCAGGTGTGCCCAGTGGGAAGTGTTGTGAGTCAGTGGTGTCAAGTTTGAGAGGAAGCGTGTGTTCTACATAGAAGCAACCCACTTCTTCACGGATAAGTCGCTCCTCCAATTTCGTTCGAGGAAACGATGTCATAAATTTCTTGATACACTAATACCTACTTCTTCATCATCTCCTCCCAGCCACACCTTCCATTTGATAAACTGACCAATCTCATCATTCTCCTGTTTATTATATACTCTGGGTAGCCATGTGTCACCGCCAGTCTGTCCACTGCAGAGTGCTCGTGCCTGATGGTAGTAGTGAATTCCTGGCAGAGCCATTGCACAAAATCTTGAGCCAAGAGCAATTTGCTTCCATGGTGCAACACATGCTGGAAGAAATCAAAACAGAAACTATACTGAACATTTCGTTGTTTATTACAAATAATGTAATCAAGATTACAATCATTGCCGATATCGCCACACAACATGACGACATTGTAGATTTCATAGATTTTTGTTGTTCGAGTGCTTTCCACCTTTCATTTACTAAACATGATTATGGTGTTGGTATTCCTACAAGACATTACTTTAATTTCGGATGCACTGGAACGTTTGGAAATGGAGTTGGAATGATGAATTAATAAACTTTCACTCAGACAAAAGAACACATTTCAGGCTCTTTACGAATTTATTGAAAGTTTTCGGTTTCACAAGTATACTTTCAAGCCTTCTCATCTAATGAAATACAGGCAAAGAGAATGGAACACGAACAGTGGATTAAGTACAGTAAGGAGGTGATAAAGCAGCACAAATAAGAAGAGCTAGAATCAACAACGATAATGCGTGACCTATACACATAATATGAATAATGACACAAAGGTGCAAGTGCGAGAAAACTCAACAAGCGTGACATGTGGTGCGACAACAAGAGACAACCAATGGACATAACTAACGAGTTTTTTTACGAACTATGTAACAGTATTCTTGTGAAACGGAAAACTTTCAAGATGTTCATAAAGAGCCGGAAGTGAGTCCTTTTCTGAGTAGTAGTTTACCAAGTCATCATTCCAACTCAATTCTCAAAAGTTCCAGTGCATCCAAAATCAAAGTAATGTCTTGTACGAACACCAACACCATAATCATGTTTAGTAAATGAAAGGTGGAAAGCACTCGAACAACAATACTCTACTCCCAAAGCTGCACAACAAAGTGTATTGCTGACTCTGACAAGCCAAAGCAGCGGTAATCACATGTCACTCCAAACGACAAGCATGTCCTCGTGCCACCAAAATCTTTCGTGCAACAGTTGATGCAAAAGTTACTGAAGTTTTGCGTGCAGTTTTTGGATTTTACTGCAAGAGGAACGGTGAAGTCACGTGCCTCGTGTCGTAGAATAAAGCTTTCTGATTGACGACACAATGCACACGATCCCGACTGTTCCCCAAGCTGTTCAGAATGGACAATGATGGGGGAGGTAAGACGCGTTATATTTCCTTCATCCTCTGCTGAGAACCCTCAGAAACTATCGTTATAGAGCTACCAATATTGCATTAGCAGGAAGTCTTTGAGATATTCCGCTTGCAGCAAGAACAAACATACATTTTTTTCGCACTAACCTCGCTCATCCCAAACATGATCCACCAGGAACAGTGGCTAGTTTACATGCTGATGATCGATGTAGATCTGCAACAGCAAGGAATGACCATCGAGCATGCCATCATTGCCCATCAAGGTCGCTTTGAGTTGTCCAGCGAGTGGGCTACGCCATTGGCTACATGGGGGTATGTGGCGTGCCCATTTGGCAGATTTCTAATGTCATGAACAAACGTGAATTCCCAGGCCCAATGTCTGTGCTGCAAAGGGAAAGTCCCGACTGGAAGGCCTACAGAGTGACGAGCGTGCTCTTGAACTGGGCATCTACATGCACTTCATCCAATCTAGATCAATGGGCGCTTGGTGAAGGAGAGGAGACTCCGGAACCGTTTTCCACGAGACCTGGCATTGTTCCGTCACGAGGCATGCGATTTTTCAGTTCATCTTGCCGCAAAGCTCAAAAACTGCACGCAAAACTAACCTCAGTAACGTTTGCATCAACTGTTGCACCAAAACTGAGCCACTACGGTGTCGAGGGCAAGGCTCACAAGTGGCTCGAAGCCTACTTGACAGGACGCAGACAGCGGGCATAGGTTGAAGGCACACTTGAACATCCGCCTTCATACCAATACCAGCGGGAGTGCCCCAGGGTTCTGTCCTGGGACCACTTCTGTTCCTGGCGCACACCATTGACCTGCCCACTGCCTGTGAAAATGCTACAACCTCGTGTAGCCAGTTTGCAGACGACACCGCACTAATTGCCATTTCAGGCAGCTACATTGTTTGTGAGGCTGGGCTACAAATAAGCGTCGATGCCGCAGCGGAATGGCTAGAGTGCTGGCACCTGCTAGTCAGTAAAACGAAAACCGTCATCCTCCCGTTCTAACATGCTAACCGACCCCCACCACGACTACCCGAAATAAAACTTGGGCAAATTCTACTAGAAACAGTATCACAACATCGGTACCTCGGCATCATCTTTCACCACGACCTAAGATGGTCAGCCCACCTTGACTTTGTGCTGATGAAAGCCGTACAATCTTTTAATATTCTCTTTAGGCTCAAATCAACTCTACACACTAAATCACTCTCTCTCATTTATAAAACATATACAGTCGTCCCCCTCTCAAATCCGGCACTTTATAATCCAGCACCCTCGATAAACCAGCACAATTTTCAGTAGCCAAAATGTCCTCTTCATGCACATTGCAGCAGTAAATCAGATTTGTTAATCCAGCACCCTCCCTAATCCAGCAGATTTTCGTGGCACAAATGGTGCCGGATTATAGAGGGACCACTGTATCCTGCCTATAATTGAATATGCATGCATTGCTGTCACCCCGCTCTCAATCGCAGCCCTTGACCGTCTTGAGCAAATCCAGCGCAAGGCAGCCAGAATCTGCCTCCGTCTCCCCCTCTACACTCCTCTGAATCATTCAACACTGCAGCTCCATCGGCTCAAATGGCCGACAATGTTCTCTCGCCGCAAAGTGAAGCTCACCCTTCTTGCCCACTCCATAAAATACCAATATGCCCCACAGCACATACCCATGCTAAACACCCTCGCTTAAGTTACGGCCCAGTATAGCCTTTGACACGCACGCACTTGGCACCTCCCATCCTCCAGAATCGATCGCTGTAAAGACTCCCCACTGTACAAGCCCCTAGAATACTACAATGCCCTCCCTGCTAGCGTTCGTGACGTCTCCTCCCGACCTGCTTTCAAACAAGAAATCTGCTCACTGCTGATTAACTTAATCTGCTCCTGCAACGCTCACCCTCTTCCATACTTGAAAAATTCGAAGTGATGTAAATTACTTTCCAACTGCATAACCCACAGCCTCACCCAAAGCATCTCCCCTTCTCATAAATTTATCTCTTATTGGCGATGGTGTCATTGTGGGAAAAAAGAATTCAAAAAAACCCATGTAGGTGACACAAGGAGAAGCTTGTCGTTTGAAGTAACAAGTGATCAGCGCTGCTTTACCTTGTCAGGGATGACACTACACTTTGGTCTGCAGCGTGGGAAGTAGTGTTGGAGTAGAAATTTCCCTCTTGTTTGCGATACGAAAGAGCTTGAAAGCACATGCCCCTACGCTATGCTTTTTCCCCAGCTCATCATGAATGTTATTCGAACTGATGGAAACGTGTTTGCATCGCATTTTCTGCACAGTTTTGCTGCAAACGAAATAGAATTGGAGGAGGTCAATAGTAGCTTACCTGAACAAAGGTTGATGGATGAAGCATTGGCAAATCCAGAGTAGCAACCACACGTATAACTACCAGCTGTGTTTGTACATGTTGAGTTCATTGAACAGTTGTGAGTACCAGATGTACACTCATTGATATCTGTAATAAAAACAAAACAAAAAAGGACTTTGAAAATCAGGATAAAACGTCAACAGTGTCCGGTTTTCATCACGTGACTGGAAAGGAAAGAACCCAAGTGAAGAGAGAATGCCATTATCGAGCAGGACGAAGCTCGAATTCATGTTAGCATTGATCAGTGATGTTGAGTAACGGTCTAGAAATTATTTTACATTGCGGGTCAGAATGGGGTAGATGCCAAGTTGTCCACATGCGTGGAAACACTGCCACCCTTCAAAAACCAATGCGTTCTGAGACACCCAGTACCGACTATAATGCACACGTTTTTCATTTACCTTGGCATGCTGGTAATGTGGGAGACCACTGTAGTTTGTCAGTGCAGGTTACACTTGAGCTTCCAGTCATTCGATACCCAGTACTGCAAGTGATGTTGATATGCACTGTGCTTCCAATGTAATACCCAGCACCAGTCTGTGTGGAGTTTGCCACCACTGGTGCTGGGCAGGACGGCATATCTGTAAGGAGTTGTGTAGCAAGAAGAACTCAGTCAGACAAGTCAGCTCTGGAAAGAAAGCTCAACTTAAAGCTGTTACGCTAAACGGCATGTTTTCGCAGGAGGTGAGAGTAGGGAAAGGTAGAAGAACGTATTAAGTTGCATTACTTATACACTCAACAGGCCTAGCCCTGCATAACTCCACAGACAGGACATTCTCCTTTTTAACACTAAGTTTAGGAGATGGCTGACGAATATGGAATGCCCTAAAGCAGCCAGGCCTTTGCTGAAGGCGAATGTTGCTTGGTCAGAGAACAAAACACGTTGCATTGGTCACACACTCAAGAAGATCAGCCCCAACAACTCCACAGGCTAGGCATGTAGTTAGTTAACACTAAGGTTAGGGGATAGCTCATGAATATATACATTAATGCCTTGAAACAGCCAGGCCGGTGCTAAAGGTCAACGGTGCTTGTTCAAACCACTGACCTCTGGGCTTCATCGCAGAAAAGGATCTGCACTATTTTCTTTAGACTTCGAGACTCGAGCTCGCTAATAAACACTCACATGCGTCAGCCGCATTCCTCAAACCTCACACTCTTAAATGGTCCAGTGTGTAATTAGAACTATGTCTGTTTCGTTGTCTGTCTGGCTAACTAGGAGAGCTCTAAAAACCATTAGCCCGCACCTTCTAAGCACTAACCTAAAACCTAAAATTAATTAATTATGGTTAAAAAGAGAGGACTAAAAGTTTAGATGTAGCTTTATAGGGCCCATCGGAACAAGCCCAATCGGTAGATAATTGATCTGTTTTGTCCAACACTAACTGCGATAATCAGAATACTGTCGAGTCAAAAATGTGCAACAGTTAGCACAAAACTGACTGATGAGATCATGACATTCAACGACCTGATGCTTTGCTGCATCACGTCTTGTAAACGTTTGGTCCTCTTATTTTTAAATTTAATCATTGGCTCTCCATCAGAGTTTAATTAATTATGGGGATGAATTTATACTTAGTACATTTCACCAAGGCAGTTACTTTTACATTGCTGTGTTAAAGCCAGGCTGCTTAACCTGCCATGGTGTTACTGTGATTATCCTGTAAGTTGTTCTGCCTTGGCCTGGATAAAGCTAACTTACTTTGCTTAATTTATTTTCGTACGATTTCGTACACTGCCTCTTTTGTACTAAAATTAATTCCGTACTAAAATTTGTTCCTGTGAAGTTACACAACAGAACAACAAGGACAATCAAGGCTTGTTTGCTGCTACTTTAAGTTTCATGCTTACGCAATCATCAGGCAACATTATTATACGTTATGTACACTATACATGCGTACCGCATGAGAACACGTGCATTTAGCATGTAGCACTGTACGAAAATAAAATCCGTACGAAAGGTCGAAATTCGGCTTTGTCCGAAAATATTTCCGTCCGAAAATGTCCTGCTATACAGTATAATGTAAGACTGTAACAAGATGATAAACGGTCAGAAAGTGTGATAACAAGGCACAAAACTGACAGGCTACTGAGACATTCAACGACCCGAGACTTAGCTTGTGCACATTTTCGCTGCGCTCACCTTCCCCTCTTTGGTCTTACGTAACCATGAACCTTCCAAGTTGGAAGGCTGTTGGTTTGCGCACTGGAGATGTGTTAGAGCTAGGTCTCGGGTCGTTGAATGTTTCAGTAGCCTGTCAGTTTTGTGCCCTATTATCGCACTTTCTGACCGTATATCATCTTGTTATAGTCGTGGATAGTTGCCGCATAACTCGTTCTCATGTGTTTCTTCTCTTTTTTACATTTTATTGCTGGCTCAGTATCCGAGTTAACATATATAATTATAAATGAATGAGTTTACCATGACATCGGTATACTCACCTCTCACGCATAGCACCTTCCAGGAATTGGCAGTGCAATCAAAATCATTCCACACATTCGTTGAACTTATGCTGTAGAGTAGTCCGATGCAATCCTCTCCCCCCGCATTATTCGGCTCACCAAATTGCCAGTTACTGTAAGTGATATTATCTCCCGTATCTCTCCATCGAAACACACCTTCATTCTGGATCGGAAAGACAGTAACAATAAGGTACGAGTAATAAGGATTAGAGCGATGTCAGTCGAGTCCTTTGGGAAAATACAAATCAGCGTATCTCGTTAGTCATCAGGCCTCCCCTCTTAGCACTACTGTGAAACGACAAATTTTCGCGGCGGCTAAATTTAGCGTTTTGGCAAACTGGACCAGTTAGCGACGATTCATTTTAGCGATTTTTACCTTCCACTGAAAATCTTGAAGAATTTAATTTTACGAAGTCTCGGAGTGCTGGAGCGCAGAGTGCACGAAGAATGAGAAAAGAAATCAAAGAATGAAAGAAGGAATCAAGGAATCAAAGATAATCATAAGTTGAGTACTAGGACTGCAAGAAAGGACGGCGGTTTCGAAGAGGGATCATCGGAAGACTTTCTCTTCAAACTGTTGAGCCACTGTGATACTAATGGCGATAAAATTCAGAAGACTTCTTTGAGCAGTACAACACTAAAATCTACGCAACAGCAAGCTGGCCAAACACTCCAACAAGCTGGACAATACTCTCCACAACACTGAGACATTTTCCAGTCGATCGTTTTATTCTCTTCTGCAATTCTGGTTCAAGTCGCCGTACTCCAACGACAACTAGCAACACTAGTGTTGGTACGTAACTTTCAACAGCTACGCGCTTTGGACTGTAGCCGTTCAAGCATCAATCAGCTAGTCCAGAGTCCGTGCAGTGCATGTACAGACAGTGCACGATCGATCGATCATCGACGCATCGCGTAGTACATGATTGTACGAATTTCATATTCGCGTGTCAAACTTTCGCGATTCGGCCCTGCTCGCGAAAGTCGCGAAAGTTAATCAATCGCGAAGTTTGTCGTTTTCAAGTAATCTATTGAAGGGTGACTACACCATCAGGCACTCCTAGCCGTGCCACCACTTGTAATTGGTGGAAGCACAACCCTGTATTTTCAGACGTGGACGAATGCAAATCAACAAAAGCTTTCTGCAAAATTGCAGAAAGCGACTGTCTCTCAGCATCTATTTAGCACAACTCCATGAGCGACTTTGACTCATGCTGCTATTTAGGGCATCAAGACGTGTTTGTCGCGCTGGTAATGGAGCGTCTCTGTATGATTGTGTCCCTGGTGACGATTTGGACTAGAGTAGTGCTCTACTTTAAGTCGTATAATTATGCATTGCACAATCTTCCTCAGCCTACTCAAGCTCAATCAATTCTTGATACTTCATTAAAACTTACTTCTTCATCATCTCCTCCCAGCCATACATTCCATTTGACTAGCTGACCAATCTCATCATTCTCTTGTTTATTGTATACTCTGGGAAGCCAAGTGTCACCGCCAGGTTGTGTTCGGCAGAGTGCTCGTGCCTGATGGTAGGAGTGAACTCCTGGCAGGACCATTCCACAATATCTTGATCCAGCGGCAATTTGCTTCCACGGTGCAACACATGCTGGAAGAAGTCAATAAGTTTCAAAGCATACACTCTATTCAACATTGTTTCTGTGTATCGTACTCGCACGATTAGTGAACTTGAGGCACTATTGTTCAAAGCCCATCACAGATGGGGCACGGTGCAAGAGAGGGCACTATTCAAGGACGGGAAATACTCAAGAAAGGGGATTACAATCTCAATGCTTCTACATATACCTCCTCCAGCGTAAAATACAGCATACAACGAATTTTATTGCCTAAATTTAATGGAAACTATCACGACTCAACAGAACCTTAACAGAAACTGTAACAAGAGCTGCGTTTTAGATCCTGAACCACCAGTGCGACGAAGTGGACAAGAATATTAATAAAAAACCTTGCACATGCACTGCGTTACTAGCCCGGGAATGTTTGTATTTACGGCCAAAGCCCTTCTCTACATAATTGTGTCTGGTGTTTCAGTTTGGTTGCAATTGGAGCAGGTCAATAGTAGCTTACCTGAACAAAGGTTGATGGATGAAGCATTGGCAAATCCAGCGTAGCAACCACACGTGTAACTACCAGCTGTGTTTGTACATGTTGAGTTCATTGAACAGTTGTGAGCACCAGATGTACACTCATTGATATCTGTAATATAGAAAACAAAACAAAAACGGGTTTAATCAGGATAAAACGTCAACAGTGTCCGCTTTTCATCATGTAACGGGAAAAGAAACAACAAGTGAAGAGAGAATGCAGTGATCGAGCAGGACGAAGCTCGAATTCATATTAGTTGTGATCCATGATGTTGGGAAACGTTCTATACAAAAACAATAAAAGTTTTACCGTTCGGGTCAGATTCAGCTAGATGCTGAGTTTTCCGCATCCGTAGGAGCGTCACAACCCTTCAAGGATAAAAGCATTGTAGGACATCCAGTACCGACTATAATGCACACGTTTTTCTCATTTACCTTGGCATGCTGGTAATGTAGGAGACCACTGTAGTCTGTCAGTACAGGTTACACTAGAGCTTCCAGTCATTCGATACCCAGTACTGCAAGTGATGTTGATATGCACTGTGCTTCCAATGTAATACCCAGCACCAGTCTGTGTGGAGTTTGCCACCACTGGTGCTGGGCAGGACGGCATATCTGTAAGGAGTTGTGTAGCCAGAAGAACTCAGTCAGAAAAGTCAGCTCTGGAAAGAAAGCTCACCTCAAGGCTGAGACAACAGCACGTTTGATCAGCAGGTAAGAACAGGAAAAGGTAGGAGAATGCATCATGTTGCATTACTTACACACTCAGCAGGACTAGCCTTTTAAAAAGAGAGCTTGTCAGAGAAAACAAGAAAAGCTGGGCTGGATAATCTCTCCGATTTCGCTTAAATTTTGGAAGTAGGTTCCTTTGGGGTCTACAACAACCATGCCAAAATGGCTCGTTGCATAACTGACGGACACCTTGGAACTGGGGACCACCTCGAAATGGGCCCAAAATACGGCTGAATATTGGGTCCAAAAACGACCGCTGGTACAGCGTACACGAATGAGCTGAGAACAAACCACCACATGCCAACATTATCTCACCTTAGTAGTCTTCACATCACCACCACATAGAGCTATAGCTACATCCAGGAAAGCAATGGTCATTATCTCCAAATATCACTAAATTGCACCGCTAGAATAGCCAAATTTCAAGGGCCATAGCGAGAACAATTTACGGCGTCTATTTCTCTGAACCATGCACTGCAGGACAGTGGACATCTCCACTACCACCCAGGACATGTCTCGTAAAAAGTGCTCCACGTTTTCTGGAAACGAGAGAGCTTGGAAGCTCAGGGCCCTACGCTATGCTTTTTTTGCCTAGCTCAGCATGCATGTTATTAGAACTGATGGAAATGTTTTTTTTCCATTGATTGGCTACATCAAACTTTCTCTTTGCATTCGAGTCACCGTCTACCACCTTGATGACCTAGGGAAAAAAGCATAGTGTTGCTATAGTGTTTTCATTTCTCCTATTTCTTTTTTCAAGACATAACTTGGGATTCGAAGCCGCACTATCGCCCTGCGCTGCATGCATTCCCCCGATAAACTTCGCATACATACTCATTCTTCCAAGTTGCTTCACGTTATGATCTTGCATTTGAAAGCCCTATTTGAATGTTGTGGCCAGCTGTCTTTGATGGTACGGTACGGTACGGGACAGTTACGGGATAGCGCCAGGCTACGGAAATAAACAAATTTGACTATTTTCACTTCACCACATTGCAACATTGCCAATTTCCTACCTGATGACGGAAAGCGCCTCCTCAAGCTCCCACACCAGGTACCGCTCCAGACGCAAGCACTCCAAACACTGCAGCGTGGTCACCTCTACCGAATCTGACAAGAAATTTGAACATTTGAACTGAAAATCCTTGTCACTCCAAACAACAACCATTTTCCTTCCCTGAATGACTCGAAATTCACTAGCAGCAAAGCTCTGCAGAAGTGCAAAAAATATTGAACAAATCTCGATTTGTGCGATCGAAGCACGATATTTTTGCATCCTGAAACTGGCCGTGCGCCGCCCACCGCGTGACACAGCAGATCGACGGATTTGATCGAGACACTTTTTCCGTCCTCTCATGGTCTGAACTAGCTCTGCCTCTTGGTATTGAGCACTCTCTTGGACAGCCTGGAACCTCTCTGGGTTACAAGGGAATTTGAACAGGGAGGAGTTAGAAAAAGAAGTGCCCTTCACCATTATTATTAAGGAATAGCTATGAAAAGTATGAATGCCGCAAACATCACCCGCCAACATCACAAATTTTGAAATTCTGTGTTTCCGGAATCAATTTTCAAGCTCCGATCATCAGTGGAAATACACTGATACCCCATTATTATCATGAAAGGATGGGGATAACTTCAAATGCAGAGAATTACTCGTGGAAATGAACCGCCTAAAAATAGAAAAAAATACCAGACCCACCAGGACTCGAACCCGGGACATTGCTTGTCATGAGCACTGCCCTACCCATCTGAGGTGGGGGGCCAAGCCAACCCTAGAAGGCGCTGACAAGGTCTTCACTCCAAAGGCAGCTCACAACACGTACCACACATACTGATGGCACTCTGGTCTTTCTCTCTCCCCCAAGAAATCAAACACAGTCATTTTCTGGAACGTTCTAACAGAAGTGAAAAAGGTGTGCAATTTTGAAAGGACTCGGAGAACTTCAAATTCCAAGAATCTGTTGGGGAAGTGAACCGCCTGGCAAGAGAAAAAATACCAGGCCCACCAGGACTCGAACCCGGGAACTTTCTGAGGCTGCTTGCGACTTATGAGTCTTAGTGCTAATTTACTGAGGATTAACACGCCATTGGGCACTCCTGGCCTTGCTTGGATCTTGATCTCATGGACCAACCTTTCATGCGCGTCATGGTGGTGACAGCCAATTTTTCTTTCTGCCTTTTCCCGTTTGCCTCTTTTAGCTCATACTAATGAATCAACTGCTTTCCACAACCCTTTAAAAAATTCGTTTATACAACACTTTCGTTCTACCAATCTTGACCTACTACCTTGCTTGCCATGGCCTGTCCCGTGCACAAGAAAACCGCCTAGATGTGTTTCATAGGAAACAGCTGCGGTGTAGCCTTGGAATTAGCTACCCAGATGTCATCTCCAATGCAGATTTTTATGCTGTTACTGGCCAGTGCTCTGTATCTGAATTGGCCAAGCGGGACAGGTGGAAGCTATTAGGTCATATATTATGCCAGCCAAGTGATATCCCTGCAAATGTTGCTCTCACTGCTTTCGGTGCATATGCTACCAGTCAGCCCTTTCGAATAGGTGCACCCCGCTCTTGCCTCACCACAAGTCTCCAGCGAGGTGTCCGGCTTACACCTATCTGCAGTTTTAAATCCAGCTACCATCGTGATCTCGGCCATTATGCCCGCGACAGAAAACAATGGATTAATATCTGCTCGGATATTTAGTCTAGTACTGCTCTTCTTAAATTTGACCTTTATGCCCATAGCTATGCAGAAGACGTTACTCCAGTAACGTCTGGCGTTAGCCAGGGTCCACACAGCTTTAATTCCCGTAGCTATGCAGAAGACGTTACTTCAGTAACGTCTGGCGCTAGCCAGGGTCTACACAGCTTTAATTCCCGTAGCTATGCAGAAGACCTTACTTCAGTAATGTCTGGCGCTAGCCAGGGTCCACACAGCTTTAATTTGGTGTTTGTTTGTGTGTTTGTTTGTTTGTTCGTTTGTTTGTGTCACACCTGGCGCTATCCCGTATCTGTCCCGTACCGTACCGTACCGTACCGTACCGTACCAGCAAAGACAGCTGGCCACAATTTTTTTGGCATGCTTGGCGCTATCCCGTACCCTTCCCGTACCATCAAGAGTACGGTACCATCAAGAGAATGAGTATATATTATGCGAAGTGTATGGGGGGAATGCATTCAGGCCTGATGAGTAACCTAGCTAACGGGATTCAAAGAGTAATTTCCTGGATGTCGTCTTGGCGGTTATCGCCCAATCTGTCTAAAACTAAAATCATGCTCTTTCCTTCTCAGCCTGATGTTCCGCCCCTCCTCCATCCCACTTTCCCCCAGCCTATAGACATAGTCTCCAGCCATAAGCATCTTGGCATTTTCATTGACTCTAATCTTTCATGGGAACCCCACATCGATTACATATGTAAACGATCAAGTTCATCTTTAGGAATCCTCTCTTCTCACTGTTACCATCTCCCAATCTCTTGTAAACTCCTCTTTTACTCAGCTTACATACGCCCCATTTTGATTATGCAGATACTGCTTGGGCTGGAATTTCCACAACCCGTGCTGAAAAGCTCGATATTCAGCACAAAAAAGTTCTAAAAATCCTCCTCCGGAAACCCCGCATGCTCCCATCTTCCACCCTTTATGCCCTTGCTCACACTACCCCTTTGTCTAAGAGACGTAATTCACATCTTGTCACCCTTATCCATTCTCTCAAACTCAATCTGTGTCCACCTCACCTCCACTGTTTCAACTGGTTTTCTTCCCGTAGCACGAGAAACTCCCTTTCCCTTCCGAAACCCAAGTCCTCCTTTCTACTTCACTCTCCCCTTTTCACTGCGTACTCTGTGTGGCTAGCACTTCCCCAAGAAGCTAAGGACCTTTCTTCCCTCCGCCTTTTTAAGAGCCTTGTCGCGCCTTGACTTTGATTTTGTGTTTCTCATTTTGTTGCAATCACTACTTATCCATGCCGGTTCTTTTTTTCTTTTTTTTCTTCTCCTCCCCTTCTCCCTTCCTTGCCGTGGTTGGCTAACGCCCTCTCTCTTTGTATTGGCCGGTGTTCTCACTGTGCTATGAGATGCTGCAATAAATAAATAAAATAAAAAATAAATAGTGCAGTAACTATTTGTGTGGATTTGTGTGCGAGGCCGAGATCCCACTAGCTGGCTGGCTGGGCCGCCTGTCGACCAGCCCGGGAATCGCATGTAGGCCGATAGCATAATAATTGTAACGTATATAGATGTACAGCAGGAAGTCGTAGCATGTAAATGACTCCCTGCTGTATAAGGAGATTTTCTGGAAAGAAATACGAAGTAGGGAGACGAGGAAATGCATTTAGAATGGAAGTTAGTTGCGAATAGGTGACAGGATTCGTCAGCAAAAATATACTTTGGAAGAGAGATCCCGTCGTCTCCAAAATAATCCTGAACGGGAGAGTCAGCGACGTTAACAGGAAACGTCAGAAGAGAGATCCCGTCGACTCCAGAACGTCCGTGATCGGCAGAGTCAGCGCCGGTCACAGGAAACGTCAGAAGAGAGATCACGTCGACTCCTGAACATTCGTGATCGGCAGAGTAAGCGCCGGTCACAGGAAACGGCAGGACAGAAATCCCGTCAACTCCAGAACGCCCGTGATCGGCACATCTCAGCGCCGGTCACAGGAAACGTCAGCACAGACATCCCGTCGACTTCAGAACGCCCGTGACCGGCAAAACCGAGACAGGTAGGGAATAGCGCCAGGCATGCTGATGGCACAAACAAACAAAAATATTGTGGCCAGCTGTCTTTGATGGTACGGTACGGCACGGGACAAATACGGGATAGCGCCAGGCGTCACACAAAAAAAATAAAGCATAAAAATAAATTTAATATGGCAATAAGTAGG